ATATTTCTATAGTAATTTTACCTTGGCGTATCACCGAAAGTATACTATGTTTTGGAGCTCTAGAAACCTTTCTTGTACGGTTGGTGCTTTTGGGTATCATTTTTTCTTGTCAAAAAATCGACCTATGCTTTGTCGTTTTACTATTGAAAAATTTATTGCACTTTTGCGTATCACCATATAAAAAATAATGATTGCACTTTGACGTATTACTGGATCAAAAATTTGGATCATATTTTTACGTACTACCGAATCAAAAAATTTGTTTGCATTTTTGCGTATCACTATAAAAATTGGATACATTACATCAAAAATCGGATTATATTATTGTCAAGATGAGGATGATTGATTCTCTCCGCAAATGGGAAATAAGAGAAGGATTGATGGACTTTTTTTTTTAACCCAATAATTTTTTGAAAGTTATTGTTTTTTTTCTACATTATTAGCATAGTCGAAAAGAATTTCTATTATCATTATTATTAACATTTATTAATTTACTTAATAAGAAAAAAATAACCAGAAACGATTCAAACTCAAATAAATTCATCATTTATTCACGTTATATCTAAAAATAAATTCATTTTTGCAAACAGGGTTTGTTATATATCTAGAAATGGAAAACTATGATTTGTTTTTAAATCCTAAATTCTTCATTTATTTTTACTTTCTTTCTTTTAAGAAGTTAGTGTGTTTATTATATTATTTGCAGTATTATTTATTTGTGTTACATTACCCCGGATCACGTGGTTTTGGTCAGTGCGCGGATCGTGTTCAAAATGCAATCTTACGCTTCAAATTGCTTGCGGATAAGATTTTTGCATGCTCCGATATTCTACAACTACAAAAATGGTTTGTAAAAATTTTCCATTTTTTAAAAACAGAATGTTGGCGTTTTTAAAATGATTCATTTGAAGTTGTGATGCAACATCTTCGAAAAAATTATGATGTTATCATTATCAAATGTTTGTAATTTTCTAACATATTTTCTTGTTTCCTTTCATTAGAAGGTTCTTTAATAACGTACGAAATTAAAAAAATGAATTTCTTGCATCTTGCTGTTTTCCTAATATTATCAAGAAATGAGATGATTTCTTTATAAATACGTGGTTAATTTTCCATTCGATTTCAAAAAATCAAAAAAAAATACATCCTATACAACAACAAACACATACACACACATTTAATAACAAAAGAATCATTTTTCAGAATTTCAAATTTATTAAAAACAAAAACCAAAATGAAATTTAATCTTTTCTTGTTTTTCTTAACTTTCGTCCTTGTCATTGCTACTGCTTCGGCGATTCCAACTAGTGAAGATGGACAAGTTTTAGCGAAACGTGATGTTACTTCTTGTAATTTTGGTACCTTTGCGTGTAAGATCAGCTGTCGTTCTCGTAATGGTATATGTTGTCCATGTAGTAATATCCCTGGTAGAGAAATTTGTCGTTGCGGAGGCCAATGTAAACCCATTTGTTAACTGGATCTTTAATTTTTTCAATTTTGTTATTATTCATATATCATCTATTATTATTATATTGTAACAGTTTAAAGTTTTTTTTTAATTTCATAAGTTTATTATTAATATTGTTTATTTAGATTTTGATAAAAATCCAAAATAGAATTAGCTCAAGTAATGGAATTTTTATTTATGTAATTTTGATAATAAATATTAATATGATATTTGTAATCTCTTTAGCAGTAAATTAAATTTATAAAAAATAAATTATCTATTATAATTAAAGATCGTTGTCACAATGAAATTTATTGAAATATAAATACGATGAATTTAGTGAATTTATTGAGGCTCTTACAATTCAAAATAAATGAGAAGAAAATAATAATCCGAAAGATACAATAGAAATTAAAGATAGAAATTGAAAAATCACAGGCAAAAAAAAATTGAATTGTATATATATAAAAATATGTGAAAATCAATCAAATGGGTTTAAAATAAAAAATGATACTGACCTTGAATAATTTAATCAACAATAAAAATAGTATAATATAATCGAAAGTTTGTTAATGTAATCTAAAATAAATAAAAAATAACTTATAAGAAAAGAAAAATTAGAAAAATTAAAAGAATAAAAGAAAGACGACATTCAACAAATTAATATTCAGATTTTGTTATTGAAATGCAAAACTTTCCTTTTTAGAATGAAGATATATATTTACCTAGGACATTAGGTCGACGGAGAAATCTTTGAGATAACGAAATTAAAAATAATGTCAAATTAAATGATAATAATAGAGAAAGGAATTACAAAAAATATAAGAAGCGAACATTATATTAAAATTAAAAAAAAACCCTTAAATGATACTTGTGCATAAAACGATTTCAACTTTTAAAAAATGAATTTTTTCATTTTGGCATAATAATAACCTCATAATCGAATACAAACAGAACTTACTAATTCAGTATCAATATCAAATATTGGCATCGGAACAGGGCGTTCGTTATTAAGAGAGTTAACTGTACACCCCTATGTTATATGTTAATTATAATTCTCTATAATTACTAAATCTATCTATTTAAAGTCTAAAAAGAAAAAAAGTTGTAGATGATATATATATATATGTATGTATGTATGTAATATCAGCAATATAATGGTCATAATTTAATAATCGGCAACTTCTTTGCTTTTCCTTCAGCAGTATACCCCCTGCCAGAGGTATGCTACTAAACTAGTTAATTGGTCTACTTGATTAATCGGTAAATTTTGAGTTAGTATCAGCAATCGAGTCGAAGAGTTCTTGAGTTTCATTGACTGATTCTGGTTTATATGGTGGAAGTGTAGGTGTCCATCCTCTGTTAAAACCAGTTCCACTATATGGTTTACGATCAATCCAATAAGTATATTTCCACATGCGTTGATCTTTTGAACCAGAAAGTTTTCGTCCACTCTTAATAGTATAACCACACCAATTACCCACTACTGCATTGATGAATTTTATTGTAGCATTGAGATCAGGTGTTCCTTTGGCCCGAGATTTAAATCCGAAGAGTAATAATGCATCTTGTCGAATTTTAATGATTTTTTCCTGCAATTCTTTGAATGCTTTTGCCACATCATCGCCTGAGAGAATGCGCTCATCGTCTATGCCGGTAAAACCCAATGATTGGAAAAGGTTATAACAGCCTCCCATTGTTTTACTGAATAATATTTATGCAAATCATTTGAGGCCGGATCCAAAGAATCTTGTGATTCCTCCCATTGTATGGTTTCTTTGAATTTTAAATTTTCCAAAGCTTTTATCGCATTAGAACCTTGTCTTCGGAAATAGGCAAGTCTTCTAAAATGTTGTAAAGGTTCAGGACTATTAAATTTTTTTACGAAATCTATATCACAGAGTTTAGTCCAGTCAGCGTGATCCATACCCCAATCTCGAATATCATCCTTACCTCCAATATCACCTGAAGCATATGTTCTCCATAAATAATGACGTTGTAAAGTCATGTTATCAGCAAAAGAACGTTCAGGATTTAGCTTAAGAGTTTCAGCTTCATAGGGGGTAATATCAGGTGCATTAACTATTGATTCTGCATCAGAGCCTTTAATCGCTTTCTCAATTCCCTTAATAGTATTAGAAACTTCTTTCCTAGCAACTTTGGTGCCTTCTGCTGAAATTAACTCAAGTGTTGCTCCAGTACTAGCAATGAGACTGCATAGAATTTCTGGAAAATATTTGGCCGATAAGCGTCTCTGATATTCGACCTCAATATAGGTCTCTACTGCTGGTGATGAGTCAAGAGTATAACAATCAGCAATGTTGTCCCATTCACGATGTCCTTTTATAGCAGTTGGTAAATCTCCAGGTCTCAAGGCAGAAAGTTCAGCACGAATGAGATCACGATTTGGTTCTTTGAAAATGCTAGTTTTTTTACTATTATAGAGAGAAATAATACGATATGGGCAATCGCGAACTCGATAAAACATTTGTGCAAAAGCTTTGGCATGCACTCCTGTATTAATATTACTTATTCCTATAACTGCATCAAAATGATTGGAAATTTCAAAAGAGATGCCAGCTTCTACAGTACTTGTATAAACCACACAATCAAGACCACTCCAAGTAGCATTAATATCGGCAAAGTCATCCTGCCGTTGCTTTCCATCCATTTGGCCAAAATAAACTCGTGATAAAACGTGCGAGCCGTCTGGTTTTTGCAGTTTGGAAGCTTGGTTTGCCAAAGCTCGTGCTTTTTTGCATGAAGTCATTGAAAAAGCAACTCGTTTACCTTCCTGAAGCATCTTAAGGCCCCTGCATATAGCTTCTGATTCTTTATCTGGATCATAAAGAATTTTAACACTCTCACCTTTACGTGGCTTATATTCGTTATCAAAAAGTCTTATATCTCCATCTCGATATTGTCTCAAAAAGTTTAAAGTTGATTCATTTGCAAATGCGTCCATAGAAATAACATGAACAGCTGATTTTAATAAATCCCGCATAGAATTTTCAGACTCACGTGCATGAACTCCACTAGACATTTGACGCATAATAGCATTATTTTCGTCTAAGATAACTACGTAAGAACGCCTTCCATAGAAATTAAGACGATGGGTACTTTCAACTTGGACAATAATAACATCCCAGTCACGTATAGCTAAATCACCCTCATTTTCCTGATAATGGCATACACGGAGTCCTGAACTTTGCAATATTTCAACTTTAGCTTTGGTCTCATTGCTAAGAGTTTTACGATATGAAACCCAGTTAAAACAAGGCAAATCTGCTCCACTTTTGGCTAAAGAATCGAGAATTTCTCTTAGTGTTTTTGTTTTGCCACTAGCAACGGGTGAGCGAATAAGAGTTGTAGTGTGATCCTCGCTTAAGAAATCAGGGTAAGCTTCTGGTGCATCTTTCATTTCCTTTACATTGATGATTTTTCCAGATAATTTGACAAGTGGGCGTGGATTTAATATGGCATTGGGTAATCTTTCATTCAAACCCCACTTAGGTTTCACTTTCGATTCTACTTTATCTGATACCTTATCAAAGCTTAATCCCTTATATATTGTTTTTGCCGATAGCACTTGAGTATAAAATGACCATTTTTTCGAATAAATCCATAGAGTTGATCCTTATCACGTTTGACGTCACATATAAGGCATTCTTATATACTCTTCTCGGCTGAACACAGTAATGAGTTTTAAAAATTTTGTTTTTTATTGATTATATATTTGTGATTAATACAACTGGATTTACAAACAAAATATAAAATATAAAAAAAGAATAAAATTTA